TTACATTAAACAGAGCAAGAATGATTCAAGCTAATTTCCACAACATGCAGTTGCCTGCCTTAATAAAGGCTGCATAGGCATGCCTCCAGATTTTTATGGAATTCCTGGTAAAAGACAAAGCAGTAACTTTTGGCAAATATATCCCTACTTCAAATTACACTTGTACAGTAAGTATCACATCCCATCACATATATCTTGAGAGCATACTTTTCTCTAAAAGAGGGGTATTATAACTAGAAAAAGACAAACTTTCTCTATTCATTAATATTTATATTAATATTTTAAGCTTTTACTGGCTTTGTGACTTTTAACCATTACAGGCTATCAAAACAATAATATTGTATTTCACCTGTAACGATGCTAAATGCATTTCACATGTGCAATCTCTGGGGCTCTGGGAATTTTCAATTCAAAGTAAGCACAAATCTAAAACAGAATGAAAACTAGACATTTATTTCCTACATATATTCCTATAACATATACTACTTTCAAATATTGGCACTCTCAAATCTCCTTATGTTGGAGGTTAAAAAATTCACTTCTTGATGCACCACAGCAGAAACAAGATGATCCTTGTAAAAAGGATGCATAGATGCAACCATGCCTGAAACAGCCACACAAATAAAACATGGGCTTTTTGTAATGGCAAAGAAGGAGAGAATTCACTTTAAGCAAGTGGCAATATCAAGGATGAGATGGAAATAATAATTTGTAGCAGCAGATTTAGAAAAAGAATCTTAAGTCTAAGATTACCAAGACACAGAAGAAAAATTGAACTGCATCATAAGAAACTTCAAAAAAGCTATTAGATCCTTCAAACTAACTAATAAGGATCCCAATTATTATCCAATTAAAGGAGGGAAGCAAGAAAAGAAACAAGTAACAAAATTTAAGTTCATGTCAAAAGCTGTATTTTCAAGGTCAATGAAGTTATGACACCAGAAAAGTCCAGATACAAGGATCAGATGAAAAGCTGAAAGCATTTGAACCTATCTGTAAAAAGACTGCCTGTGGGACATCATAAAAAAGCAGATGCCATGCACAAATCTATGGGGATGTCAAGGTTAAGGTCTTCATTGCATCATTAGGGAACTTCAAACTGTATTGCCAAGTACATATTTCTAGGAAGTAATAACCTGAAACATGAACATCTCTGAATCCTCGTTTAATAACTCTGAAATATTTATTCCTTAATTAACAGCATGTATTGAACATATTTTAAATGCTGCTCCAGACACTCCAAGAACTTAGAATATGGGATTGTCCAAACATTATATGCTTCTAACAGCTTCATATAAATTTGTTTGCTGGTGGGTTTGCTACAGAGGAATAATAGATAAAAATGTTCTCTCTACTATTTTGGCATTGACACTAGTAAGATTTCATGATGATACCTGCATAAAACTTTGCTACACCTCTTCATTCACAATTATTTCCCTACAGCAGTTGCAAGTCTATTTCATGTACAAATTTATGACAAAGAACAAACAAGGCTACTTGCAACTCTAAAAGTTTTGAGAAGGGATAGAATTCCCATATCTAACTTTGCAACTTCCACATACCTACTCCACATTTGAAATTTACAGAAGGGTACTGTGAGGGTCTGTGCATTACAAACACTACCCTTTAAGCGCAGACTACTACTCACTCACTGAAGTGCAGCCCAGACAAAATCTGGGCAAATGGCAGACTTCTAATAGCAGCATTTTTGGTGTATGTTCCAGTTGTAACTCACACAACTGGACAGTAAAGAATGGCCATTTGAGAAAAAAAAAAAAAAAGAAAACCCACATGAACTTAGCAAATAGTTAGTAGAGGTGGCTGTAGATGCTTTCTCAAAAGCCAGTGTCACATTTCTAGAGATACTCTTGCAGCACTCCCCGCAGTCCATAATGTTCTGTCTGACAACCCGTTTTTTGGCAATGCAACACCAAAATTATCATCTGTAGCAAATAAACTGCCACTGAACATTCAGAAAGCAGTGAACTCTCCAGTGCTAAAACCACTGCTGTCTGACACACTGATGGCTCTTCAACACCTCCAACTTCAGGAATGGTAGAGAAATCAGAAACTCCAGGTTTTCTTTTCTATAGAAGTTATTCTATTTTCAAAACTAAGTGCATGTGGCAGTACAGAATATATCCATGCCAACTGGCCTCTCCATCAGTTTGCCTTTGCAAGGGGAATAAATAATAGTTAACATTTATCCCATTAAACTCTTCTGTATGTCTTGCCACTTGTCTGCTGTCATCCATGTTGAATCTTGTATTCAAGTGAGCAACTCCAGAACTCTTAATTCACTTTAAACTTGAAGTCTTTTATTTCACAGCTCCTTAATTAGTTTTTAGAATGTTGGAATGTTAGTATGTTGGAAGTTGAAGGCGCAATTTATTTTAATAAAGTGAACAAATGTTTCTTCTTGGAAACAGTTTGATGAAGAAAAAAAGTCTCTCCAGATTATATTTGAAGCTCAACCTCTCCAGCTACCTGTTTCTCAGCCAATTTCAGTACTCATACAACACACAAGGCTGGTTTGGTGAAGCATTTTTCAAATCACATCCTCTCTTTTGTTCAAGACAGACTCCATTCTACCAGTCTTTCTTCAGGCTTCTTTTTGTGAAACTCAAGCACCCAGCACGGGCCCATAAGCACCCTGTCTGCTTATCACTGCTCAGGACATTTTCATTTGCAGTTCTATTGCATTCCTTACTTAGGACATTCCTTCCAGCAACAGATTCCTTGATGCTTATTTCTTCAGTTTAGTCACAGTAATTCCATAATTTACATGAGAAGAGTCATTTGTTATCCAGCTTTCTAAGATTATGCTCTTCCTTCATTTCTTTGTGTCATTCACATAAGCATTTTGCACAACATATTACCAGAAGAGGTGACAGTTTTGCACCACTTTGGTCTTTCTTACCTTCTTGTGAAAATTCAATAACTCCTCCAGCTGTAACAGATTTCCTCTATATTATCAGTTTTGGATCCATAGCAAGTGAGTTTTTCCCAAACCTAACTTCAAATTCACAGTTTTTTGGTATTTTTTGTACCAGTTGGAAAATGGATAGTAGACAATGCACTTCAGTTTGGCCATAGCTAGCTAATACACAGTCCCTGTCATTTTAACCAAGTCAAACACATGACCAGTAAAGATACAAAAAATACTCAGGGTGAGTGTAAGTTTCTTCTTCCAACTGCACAATGAACTCTAGTATGGAAGCATGAAAGTAGCTTGGGAGAAAAGTCAAAAGGGTAAAAATAATTGTCACCAAAAGTACAGTATGTCTGCAAATCTTTAGAAGGAGGAGTATGTACTGTGAAATCATTAATATAAAGAACCAACTCGTAATCAAAAGGAGGGAGCAGAGCTACAAGCTCACTGTTGCTGTGATTCATTATCAAGCAGATGTTTGAACAGCACTGATGTTTTAATTCTTATGATGCATCTCATTTCTCATTCAGCTACAGATCCCTATTTCTGCTATATTTATAAAGAACATCTGGGAATGGACCTGTATTGTTCATGACCTCAAATCTCAGAAGACAATGATAATATTGCTTCTTACACTACCTTGCAAACTCCTGAGCTTGTATCTATACCCTCTTTCCTATTTCCAAGTATCTCACCTGAAATACCTCATTAAACTCCAGAGTTTGTGCTTTTTCTGTTCCTCCCAGAATCTCCCTCCCACTTATAGACATATGAGCAGTAACATGTCTTGAATCAATCAAGTATAAGTATACGGGCTTTGGGTCTCACAGATTTTCCCACTCTGTAACTTGATTAGGCAGTCTGACTACGACATACTTTACATGCTAAAATTAAAGACTGAATGAATATACTAACACAGACACTCGCATAGATGAAGAGGTTCAGCATATCCTGTTAACATACTTGGGAGCTCCTCAGATGTTCTGAAGCAAATCTCTAGCTGTTCCAAGTATTTCTTTCTCTGAAGAAGGCGTTTCCTTTAAGAATTTCTGCAAACACTTTACATATTCGAGTGGTAATCTTTGGTCAGAACTCTGGCAGGATGAAGAAGTATTCCTAACTCCACTTAAAGAACATAAGAATGTCAACCTGGAGCTACTACTTTTCACCTGATCTCTCACTACATATTCCAACAAGTACAACCTCCACTAATACCTATCGATTAGCTCAATTTCCATCACACTTCCTCTTTCCTAAACAAGTTTTTCCAAGACCTTCACCAGCTTCCACAACAGGACGAAATTGCCTTTAACAAAACTAAGCGATCCATTACACCCAGCCTAGGAGGGCTAGGGGGGAAAAAAAATCAAAAACATTAGGAAAGTAGCTTTAAACGGAAGGAGTTTATTCCACACCTTCTACAGCGACATGTACTTTTCAATCATATTGACAGAGGCTACTGTGTCGGCACACGAGCGTAACAAAACTTCCTCGCGGTAATTAGCAAGTAAATGGCGCATAAGCGCATCAGCAGAGCCGCCCGGGCTGCCCACGGCCCCAACAAGTGTTGTTATTGTTCGGCCGCCCCGGTCCCCGCCCAGGCCGGCGGATGACACCTGCAGGACTCCCCTCAGGAAGAGCCTGTCCTGCCGCTACGTTCCTGTGCCTTGTCATCAGATCAGCCGGTGCTCGGCTTCTTTGCCGGCCAGGGGCCAGAGCCTGCCGGCTCCCCGAGAGCAGCCGCCCGGCCCGCGCCCACCGCCCGCAGCGGGAGCCCGGCTCTCAACGCCCCGGTCCTGAGAAAGCACGGGAGTTCTGCCTTCCCTCCCAAGGTGGGAAATTTAAAAAACAGCGATTAAAACAAACCGAGCCACAGCACAACCCCGCCGCCAGCCTTGGCGCTGGCGAGCATCTCCTATCCCGGCAGCTCCGCGGCCGGACACCCGCACCCCGCCCACGGCACCCGGTCCCGACAGCTCCCGTCCCCACACGGGCCTCCGGGCTGGAGCGGGCAGCACCCCGGGCAGCGGCAAGGGGGTACGGGCAGAGAGGGAGAAGGGTCACTTACTGGGCGTGCAGTGCATCGGTGAGGCTTGCGAAGAGACGGGCGAGGAGGGAGGCGCCGCCGGCGGCGGCTCCTTGAGGGCGGCGGCAGCCGCGGGGGTCAGGACGGGGGGCAGCATCAGGTACCGGTCCGGCGGCGGCAGGCAGCGCTGGCACACCGAGTGCAGGCACGGCAGCAGCTTCGGCCGCCGGCTCTGGATGGACTGCCCGCACACGCCGCAAGTGTCCAACAGGTTGAGCGGCGCCGCGTCCCCGCCGCGCTCCGCCGGGCCCTGCCGGCTCTCGGCCTCGTTCTCCCCGCTCAGCGCCGCTGCTGCCCCCGGTCTGTCCGCCGGGCACGGCCCCCCCGCCGCCACCGCTACCGCAGCTGCTAACGCCCGCGCCGCCTCTTCCATTGTCCTGCGCCGGTCGCCGCCGGAGAGGCGAAGAGAGGCGGAGCAGCCCCGCCGCTTCCCGCCCGCGCCGCCGCCGCCTACCGGCGCCTGCCCCGCCGCGCCGCCAACGGACGCCCGCGCGCCGCCAACGGACGGACGCTCCCGCTCCGCCCCGCCCCGGACTGCCCCGCCCCGCCCGCAGCCCGCCCCGACCCGCCCCGCCCCGCTCCGCCCCGCCCCGCTACGTGCGGCGAACGCTGCCCCGCCCACCTCGTCCCGGGAGCCCCGCCCTCTCCTCGGCACCCGCGGCCGCTCTCTCTCACCTGGGCGGTACCTGGCTCTGTCCGGGTGAGAGGAAGGCTGGGAAGTTCCTCTTGAATTTGAGGAAAAACTTCTTCACTGTGTGGGTGACCGTGCTCTGAACCCTCGGGTTGCACAGAAAGGGTGTGGAGTCTCCCTCGCTGGAGATGCTTAAGAACTGTTTGGATACGGTCCTGTGCCATGTGCTCTAGAATGACCCTGCTTGAGAAGGGATGTCGGCCCAGATGACCCACTGTGGTCCCTTCCAACCTGACTCATTCTGTGATTCGGTGAGACGTCTTTGTCCCTTGGACAACACATTAAAAGAGGTCACCCTTCTCCCTGCCCTACGTGCAGGTGAGAGGCTGTGAGTCTTGGCCTGTATTTGGCTTGGCCGATCACAGCAATACCACCACATTACCTGACTGAAGCTATTTGGTGATTGGTACAATTAAAAAGATACAACAGAAAAGTACAATTCTTGTTTAGACAGAACATTGTATTGAATCAAAGGCCTTAAGTATTGTGCTGGTGAGACATTGGAGAAGGTTACCCAGAGAATTGTGGATGTCCCAACCCTGGAAACGTTCGAGGCAATGTTGGTCCCATACTGAAATCAGACAACAAACTTTCTAACACAATTTTAAGTATCAGACAACAGACACTCTTTATTACCGTGCTGGACACATCAGAACGATAGCTCTGTTAATCTGATGTGCTTCCAGAAGGTACAAGTTATTTATTCCATCATGATCATACATACTGATTACAGTGTACTTCTGGCTAATACATAAACATCACTTTTCACAGAACTAGTTTGCATGCATCTGCCTTCTTCTCTCCTACTCAAAGCCTTTTAATGTCCCTAAAGGGTAGTCTGAAGGGGTCTTTGTACTCACCAAGTGCCCCCAATATTACAGATGACCTTTCCTTGAACTTCTCTTAGGGCATGTACTGCTGCTTCTTTTGAGATAACTTGGCCCAAGAAGCCACTATATTCCTCATTATCAGTTTATCTACTGGTTCGAGCCCATTTATCATCCTGTGTGCACACTTTCACATTCTTTTATCATTTTTTGTTAGCTGATCTATTCAGCAACTTCAGGGGAACTTAAAATTTGTCTTCTCTGTGTTATCTATCAGGACAGGACTTTGAGCAACCTGGTGTAGTGGAAGGTGACCAGCCCATGGTAAAGTGGGGTGGAAGCAGATAATAGTTAAGGTCTCTTCTAACCCAAACACTTCTGTGATTCTGTGAGCTTCTATGAAGTATGCATGCAGACACAAAGCTAGATCTAGCATGTTGGTTGCTACATCAACCATAAACCAGATTCAGGCTCCTCAGAATATTCCAGATGTCTGTGCTTAAATTCCCAGAGCAGCTAGAATACTTCCCACTTCCTTGCAATTTCTTTAAGACCCTAACAAAGGTCCCGTAATAAATAGGACCATAAAAAAAGCCATACATGATAAAATACTCATTTCTTCAGCACAAGGAACTGTGTACAGGAGCAGCATCATGATTCAGCGTGTCTCACACGCATAATTTATCATGGTAACAGGAGAACAATACTACAGGTTGTACTGGGGAGGAGGAACGGATTTGGCATTACAATGAGGAAATGTTAAGAGGGAAATGTCATTCTCTGATTAAGAATATCAGTGGAGGGGACAAGCCATTACATTCCCAACCCCTGACCTGCCAACACATAAGGAAAAAATGCCTCCAGAAGCACCTTCCTGAAGTACACCTTCTGCCTCCCAGTCCAGCTGCCTCTGTCCCTTTACTAAGAGTGATCAAGTGGTAGGAGAGAGTCCTGTAGTTTCCTCCCCCCACCGATTTGGTTATTCAACACCATATGACAATGTGCTAACAATCCATTGTGGCAGGACCTTGCAGGCTGAGAGCATGCCAAGTGTGAATGATGAAATAGATTCTGGAATTAAAGTTAAGGAGGATGGTACAGGCTCTGCAAGATGAAAATTACCAAAAATGCCATTAGAAAAGGTCTATTGAGGAATAGGCAATAATTGAAGAATGGTTGATTAGTATTGAGAGCAAACATGATCAGAAAATCAGTAAATAGTACATTTGTGAGGAGTAATAGCAAGTCGTAAGATCATCAAACTAGGTAGTTTCTTTAACTAGTATGAACTATTTCTCTAACAGATGTCAGCACAGGAAAATAGCAATACTGTATAATGGTACAAAGATTACCCTGTAAAAGAACTGAGTAGAGGCTGTGTTGAAAATGATGATCCCCATGAGGCAGTGTCCCAAAGATTAGTAAAATAATAGGATTATGTTTCCTGCAAAGTTTGTTTGCTTAGGATGTTTGCAAAGCTTGCTCAAACTGTGCTGTAAAATCTGTAGTTGCATGGCATCAGAACAGCATCTGATTTAAAATGAAAGTTTGGACTTGCATTATTTAAATTTGAATGTAGAGCCTTCCTGTTAGTTATGGCATCATATTAGGAGTACTTGGGATAGAAACAAAACGGGCATGGAGGAACAGAAAAAAAAAAACATCCTGAGAAAACCAACCATTCAGTACATGTAGACAAGGGAGGGAGGAAAAAAACTTTTAAATGTAACCACATTGTTCAGGCAAAGTGTGACAAGGATAGGGGAAAGAAGTGGCATCCCGTTATACCGACCTGGGTGCACAGCTTTTGGCCACAGCTACACCATACCTGGCTACCAGGGATCACAGGCAGAGCTGGCTTGGGGCTGTTGGAAAAGGGCATGTAGACAAACCCACACAGGGCAATACATGCTGTACTCATTTTTGTGTGAAAACAGCTGATGGTTTTGTCTAGTGACTTGTTGGGCTCTCCATTGTTCCACTGGAATGAGTCAAACCAATGAAGAAAGAATGACGATGGTGACAAGCTGATAGCTGGAAATCAAGATGACTAGCTAGGAAACATCCAGAAGCTGAGGCTGCTTCTCTCTTCCCTTTCTATGCTACTCATTACTTTTGTTTACAATTTGTTTTAGTACCTCCTCTGCTTCTTCTGGACATCCCATTTAAAGCAAATTCCATAAGCATTTTGCCTTCTGTTCAGACACACACTTTGTGGCTGCAATCTAGATCTTTGCCATTTGTAATCTATACTCCTGTGATATCCTCCACAAAAAGTTATCATTCAGAAACTTCAGCTGCAGAAAGAAATGACTGCCAGCTGCACTGAAGAACTTCTCAATGGAGTTCTCATAACTAGAAGTTCCTTTCACTTAGAATTTACTTGCTGGCTCTGATTTCCTCCTTTTGTCCCTGGTTCAGTTTGTCTCTTTCTTGTAATTCTAGATTGTCTAGCAGTCACTTGGTCTTGCAAATGCAACAGATGCAAATCTTTCCAGATTACCATCAACATCAGCATGTGCATTTCCTCCTCTTAAAACAGCCATGTGACACTAAACAGTCTCTTTCCAAAGTTTTTTTACAGACTAAAATAAAACCATGGGGCTTTGCAGTGTGCCAGCCCAGTTTAACCTTTATGTGGCAAGAGTGAAGGAAGTGGGGAGGAGAGTCAGCACTCCATCTGTGTCATTAAAACATGTTTTTGACACAGTAGTCATCCAAGAAATAGACCTGGCAGCTTTCTGGCCAGACTGTATTACAGCAACACGAAGCAGTCACTGGGAGGATGTGTCCCAGAATATATAGCCTTTACTGGCCTGTGTTCTTTTAAGAAATGGACATCTTAATGTGTAGTTGGTTTTCAAAATCTGTAAAATATAAAATATGTTCACTAGAAGTAAGATGAATGCATTAGGAATGCATTAATGGTTAGGGAAATGTAATATATTAACCTTTCCAGCAACAGTAAAGTAGGAGAATTTTACATACTAAAGCATCTGGAACAGGCAATGAATGAGCATAGTGCTGCCCAAACTGTGAAGGTTGAATTAGGAATTGATCTAGAATATAGCTTAGATCTGTAGGCTGCCTTTTGGAATTCCACAATCAAGAACCCATCAAGCTACACTTACTTTTTCTTTCAGTGAGGAGAGAGTGAGAAAAATTACCTAGGATTTTCAACTTTCGGTTTTCTATACTTCACTCACCTAACATATACAGACACACATAAAACTTTTCTTCCAGATTGGAGGATGGTTTCTTGGAAACCTCTTTTGTGTCCTATTATTTATGCTCTTTACCCCAGTAAAATATTTCTCCAGTGCCTGGCAAATAAAAACTGAGACTTTCACAACTGAGATTTGCTTGACCAGTTTCAGCTGGAAGCTCACCACAGATAAGGCTGGGTCCAGCACCCTGGAGTGGGCCAGCTGCCTTGTAATGTTTCCAGTTCTCCATGCAACATACCTCCACTGCAAACTATGGAATAATATCACCTCTGCACACTTTCCTACTAGTTTTGTAGTCAGAGAAGACACTCTGCTTTTGTAAATTTACCTTGGGTTCATCCCATTAGATTCCCTTTCAGGGAAAATGAACTTGCCTAAGGTGAGAGGCAGCATGCCTGTTCTGAACACCCAGAATTAGATAAAAACTGATGGAAATCACTGCGGTATTCACAACCCCTTTTTCTTCCAAAGATAAGTTTGGTTTTCACTTTGATTGAAAATTCCACAAACACATGGAAACAGCCTAGATATACATGAGCATATCCCAATTAATGTCTCCTAACAATGCTCTATCCACTTATCAGACACCTACAGGTCCCATCTCTAATTCCCAATGCACCTTTGGAAC